CGGAGCATGGTATTGGAAGCTTGGGGAAATCTTCTTAGTTTAGAGAACTTGCACTTGGATCAAGTCAACAAATTAGAACCTAAGATCATTTCAGAATATAATGAGTGGATCAAACTGACAGTCGAACAAGCACGAGAGAAGTCACAGTCCGCTCTCGCTAGCCCTGAAGAGCAGATAGACAAGCTGAAAAAAGAGCTCGAGGATTATCAATTGCAACTCATAGTGGGCGACCATGCCCTGGAAGACACCCGAGCACAATTAAAGTGGGAGACAAGAAAAACTGAAAAGTTGGAAAGAGCACTGGATGCATTTGATAAAATTCAAGATGGAATTCGGAAACTTAGTATAGGAAGTTCTAGGGAGTCTCAACGTACTAGTTTAGCAAGACATGAGGATTTTGTAAAAATGGTCAGCCGAACCATCAATGATGCTGTAAAGTATGATTAAACTTGTCAGTGTTTAATGAGAATTTCTACTTTGATCTCTACATTCACTTACATGTTTGAAATTGGGATTTTACCACGAAGGCGTTGCATCATATTAGGCCTACCCTTGGCAGAAAAGGGTTCTCCCATAGGACATGCATCCAAATTATTTAAATATCTACTAACTCATGTTTTTTTTTCTTTCTTTTCTTTTTTCTTGAATAAATTACAGCATTTTGACAGAAAATTCAATCCTAAATCAGTTTCTTTTCTCCACTATCAGGTATTTTTCACAATAGCTACTCGAAAAAGCCCCATCATCACCAGGTCCCGAAGTAGAGCCTTGAGACAGTCTGTAAACATGAGTTCAGTACCAAAAACTTCAGAAAGATCTGCTATAGTTACATCACCGGACCTCACAGCGTTGGGAGTTCAATTAAGTGAGATACTTGGCAAGTTCAACGAGTTAAGTGCTGAAATGGCCTCGCAAAGGCGTGTAATTAATCAGTTGGTCACCAGCAACAGTGGTGGTGGTGTCCCAAACGACCAAGAACCTATCGATAATCACCCACCTGCACAAGACTACCAACCACCCCACACATCCAATACCCAAACACCTTTCTTTCCTCCTTTCTCTAACCCTCTTGAAAATACCTTTAGCCGACTAAATTCAGACTTTTCCTATATGCATCCGAATTATGTATTGGTGAACCCAACTAGTAGCCAAATCCCTCAAACCCTTCCACAAACCAATCTGAACGTTCCCCCCAACCCTCAGGGACCTCACCACCACATTACAGAGTCTTTTGTACTGGATACTGCATCTCAAGGGAAAGCGGCGATAGAAGAACAACCTACACCCATTGATAAAGATCTGTTAAGAAGGTTGGATCGATTCGATGATTTTATGAAAAAGAATCAAGGGTTGAGCAGGCATGGTGGTTTGGACTACGATGAATTGTGTCTTTTCCCAAATATTCAGCTACCGTTGGGATTCAAAACTCCAAAATTCAGCAAGTATGATGGAACTGAAAATCCTAAGACGCACCTCAAGATGTTTGCCAACAAGTTAGGTTGTGAGGACCCGTACTTTTCTTAATTGCACGTTTTCTGCATTTTCTTTATTAGAAAATTTTTCTAGATCAATTTTATGAGTAAATATAGTTTTTAAATGATTTTTCTAGTATCGGTTAGTTTTTGAGAAATTAAGAGCGTATATCGAACGTGGGACCCGCTAGTGCGAAATTCGGGAAATTTCGGCCAGTTAGGTTAAGTTTTGGATACTTGGTTTAATTTAGCGGGTGCTATGAGATATTTAGAGGTACCAAGTGGATAGGTGTGAGAAAGACAAAAAAAGTTAGGCATGACATTAATGAGAGGGACAAGTGTCATGAAACCATTGGATGGGAACTTTGATTAACTTTTCTTAACTTTACTAAACATCTATTTTGACCAAATGTTTCTTCATTTTTCCCCTTGTTGGCTGAAATTTTGAGGAGAGAAAAGAGAGGAAATCCTTCATCTTGTACTTCAATCCCTTGCTCCAATCTTGATTTCCAACCATTAAAAGTGAGGATTACTCCATCAAAGTTACTTATTAAGGAGGATTAAAGCTTCTAGTGGAGGGATTTGTGAAAGAAAAACCCTAAGTTATCATCTTTTTTGAGGTGTCAAGGTACCTTGCTTACAAATTTCCTCTTTACTTCAATTAATTGCTTATTAGTGATTTTTAGTTGTTTTAGATGTTGTTTTGTGGAAGATTGGCACATGAATGCATGAATTTCCAGATTAGGGTCCATTTTTTTTTTCCTTTCTGCCCGTTTCTGTTCGACCCGGTTAGAGGCCGAATTGGTCTTAGCACAAAACATAAAAGTTGTAGGTAATGATGTTTTCTAGTTGGCTGTAAAATTTCAGCTCAATCCGAGCTCGGTAGCCTGAGATAAGACGGAAATACCCAGACTGGTCTAGGTAGGAGTTCAGCGAACAGGGTTGTCTTTTCACCCAATCTGACCGTGCCTTTTCACCATGATCCCTACTGAATTAGATTTTGGCCAAAACATGAAAGTTGTAGCCAATAGTATAAACTAGTAGAATGAAAACTTTCAGCTTGATCCGACCACTGTAACATGTGAAATGACCTAAATACCCTTGACTGTCCATGAAACCTGTTTCGCGCCCAGAATTCTGTTTTTGTGTAGTTTTCCATTTTTTTATCATGAAAATGCATGATTTGGCCATGGAGGTCTTCATAAGAAATGTAGGGTTGTGTTTTAGCTTCGAAACACCATAAGATACACTTCAATCGGACTTCGGTAGCCTGAATTATTGCTGTTTAACAATTGTGCGGTTAGCCAACCTGTTTGTGAGTTTCTGGTTTCATATATGTCAATTTTGACCAAGTTGCACTACAAACTGGACTGAGTGGCCTTCTTCAACATTTTAGCCCTATCTGTTAGCTTCGAAACGGTGTGTCTTGCACCTCCATCCGATAATCGTAGCGCCAATGGTGCCAAAACCGCAAAATGATGTCAAAAAACTGTTTTTATCCAGAAATGTTTCTAGCTTGATTTTTGTATTTATATGACTTTAAGCCTAGTGAACGGCTTTGGAAATGAGATTATTCTATATGAGATGTTGGGACTATTTTGAGGAAAATAATGAAGCCATTAATGGCTGGAAAATAGGTAAACACAAGGGACATACCGTCCGTTTATCTTCTTGTAATGTGAGCAAGTTAAAGTGATTTTGCGAATGTATTTCGTGACGAATTGGACGTATTTACTGAAAATGTTACCGGCTCTTTCAAAAGGTGGCCGAAGGCTAAATTTCTATTTGAACCTGTATATTTCCGCTTGGCAAATAAAATGATCATTTTACCATTTTAAAACCTAATACATCTTTGGGTTGAAATTCCAAACGTTTACTTACTGTTTACCAAAATATAGAGGTTGACCTAGGGTTCTCTCGGCCACAAGTGAATAACTTTTAAGTGAAGTTTTAAGAGTGAAAGTGAGATAGTTTTGCCACCTTTTCATGATTTTCATCAAGGCATATAGTCTATTGATTTTGAGCTACATAAACGATTCCGGAAACAATACTTCTTAGCTTACCTTATTGGATTTCGATTTGTCGTTGGTTAAAGTGTTTTCTGCCCGAAATTTCATAACCTTTTGAGTTTGGCTTCACGGTTGGTTTATGAACCCTAGTAATTTCCGTCCACGGATCCATATGCTCTATTGACACTTTAAAAGTCATTTTAAACGTTTACTCGCGAGTAGTCGGGTAATCCTTGATTTCATCCAAATCATGCTAGATGGATTGTAATGTGTTCTTTGTTTACTTTTAGGTTTCATTGGTGATTGAGAAGTGGACGTTATTTTGCGTGTATAGGTGAGTGTTCCTTGTTTGTTATGTTCCATGATTATATGGCTGGTATGAATGATTGATAACATGTTAAATGCTTTCAATGATTATTAAAACGAGTTTTCTAGGCAAGTGTGTACTTTATCGCACTCGGCCTAAATGATTGTAAAGTTTTCAATGATTGAATGATTGAAATGTTATTTGTGCATGAATGTAAGCCTTTTGGCTGAACTGGCCACTGCCCCTTGTTACCGGTCGTCTCGAGCCAGAAGCGGACTCGGTCGGGCGATTAGGGACCTGGGTAGACGTTTTGGTATACTCGAGTATTACCTTGTAGGTTGGTGGAGGTTGGTGGAGCCTGGTGAATGAATGAATGAACGAATGAATGAATAAGGGTTTTATTTATATACAAATGCATTTTCAAATGATTGAAGGTATAAGGGAACGAAAGGAGAATGAATGAACGAATGGCTCCTTGTGAGCACGTATCCTTTTAATGAATGTGTTTATCGCTTTCTTTTGTATTTGTATCTTGAATTATTGGTTTCATGTAATGAATGCAATGCACTTCTTGTTTGCCTACGTGTTCGGAACCTCACTGAGCTTATAGCTCATCCCGTTAGTTTTGTTTTCCTTAACAGGGGAAGGCGAGCAAGGACGAGAACCGGTATAGACTAGCTGGGTCTAGCCCTTGGTTTTCTTTTGTAATGGTTCTCGCCCTAGTGCTTGGCACGGGCTGGTTGTATGGTGATTTGAAAACCTCTGTATATTTGACGGTTGTACTTCTTCTTGAGATATTATTGTATATACGTTTTGTTTTAAGTTGGATCGTGGTTAGATATTGTTATGGTTGTTTGAATTGATCGACTGAGTCCCGGCGAGAGCTGGGCAGGCAGTCCGCCGAACCCTTTGGTTCGCCTTAGGGGAAAGTGGGGCTGTCACAGAGGTAAACCTGTGGATGATGAGAATTTGCCTATGCGTCTATTTCCGGAAAGTTTGGAGGGAGATGCTCTGGATTGATATTCAAATTTGAAGTCTGGAGAAGTCAAAACCTGGTTGGATCTATCAACAGCTTTTGTGAAGTAGTATGAATTCAACTGTGAGTTGGCACCAACACGAACCACACTGGAGGGTACGAAAAGAAAGCCGTCGGAAGATCACAAGACCTACGCAAAATGGTGGAGAAAGTTAGCTGCCAAAGTGGAGCCTCCTATGACTGAGGAGGAGATTGTTCGTACTTTCATCAAGGCTCACGATCCACCCTATTTTGAAGAGATCTTCCGCATGACTGGAAGTTCATTTGCTGCTATCATTAACAAGTTGGAGGAGTATGATGAATTTGTCAAAGCAGGAAAGATTGTTAATGTGTCTGCATTAAAGTTGCAATTGGATGCTCTACAAAATCAAAACAACAATGGGAAAAAGCCCCCATTCAAGAAGAAAGAAGGTGATACTGCTTTTATATGGGATCAAGGCCCGTCTTACAGACCCCGAAACCATCCCACCTATTCTTTTCCTTACCCGTATTACACCAATCCGCAACCAGTCTACCACACTACTATCCAATTCCATCATTCCCGACCAAATCATTTGAATACCTCGCCCTTACCTCCAACTCCACAACCTGTCTTTCAAAATCACTCTCGTCCCATTTACCATTCCAGACCAACCCTGCAAAACAATAACCCTTCTCAAAATCCTTTGCAAACCAGTGGAATTCAAACTCAGAAGCAATTTCGAACCTTCACCAATTTGGGCCGACCTATTGATCAGTTGTATGAGCAATTAAAAGCAGCTGAGAAAATTGGCACTGTTCCTCCCAAAATCTATCCCAGAGGTCCTCCTGCCGGTTATGATTCGCATGCAATCTGTGCTTATCATTCTGGAAGTCCAGGTCATACCACTGGCAATTGTTGGGCTTTAAAACATAAGATTCAAGACATGATTGACGCTGGAGACATCCTTCTCAGAAGAAAGGGAGAGCAGGGACCAAATGTTAGTAAGAATCCTTTACCTGAGCATGGGAACACTGTGGGACTTATCACCGCTGATGAAGATTTTGTCGATCCCACTCAGTACATTTTAGATGAAACTGAAGTGTTTGGCGTGATGGAGGCTGACCATGTGAGAATTAGAAAACTGTCGCCTGTTGAAAAGTCCATGACTAAAGATAATGTCGAGGAAAATTTGAAATCTTTTGTGTTTGAAAAAAATGAGCCATTCATAGTAGAAGGAGGGCCTTCCGAGATTGACAATTCTAAAGCTCCTTTTATTCTGGATTTACCATCTTTTGAATGGGATGTATCAGAGCCTGCCATTCGTAAATTTTCGGAACAAATGCCTGTCAATAACTTGCAAGAGGTACCATGGAACTACGAGGAGTCTAGTCTGTTAATTGGAGACAAATATTGCTTGAAGGAGGACGTATCTAATATTACTAGGTCTGAAAAATTTGTGGGAAACCCCGAAATCGATGTTCAATCCAGGGCCAAGATTAAATCCCTGACGCCCAAGTCTCTTGTGTCTGAAGAGGAAGCCGTGGATTTTCTAAAGATGCTGAAGAGAAGCGAGTACAAAACAGTGGAGCAGTTGGATGGGATGCCTGCTCAGATCTCTTTTTTGAATCTTCTCTTGACCTCCGAATTACACAGAGAAGCATTGCTCAAAATTCTGAACGAAGCTCAAGTCCCTAAAGATATTCCGGTGGATAAATTTTCTAACATTGTGGGGAATGTACTTGTTGCTAATCATATTGCTTTCTCCGATGATGAATTGACTGCAGAAGAGATCGGACATAACAGAGCCTTGTATATATCAGTCCGCTGCAATGGAAAGCTGTTGCCGAGGGTTTTAGTGGATAATGGGTCTGCGTTGAATATCTGTCCATGGAACACTCTTACCAAGCTTGGATTTCTTGATATTAAACTTCATCCATCTGCAACTGTGGTTCGAGGATTTGATGGTTCAAGAAGGGAATCTATGGGTGAAGCAGATCTGGTATTGGAGATAGGTCCTGCTCAATTCCAAGTTACTTGCCAAGTGATGGACTTTTCCAGCGTTTACAATATTTTGCTTGGAAGACCTTGGATACATACTTTCAATTCAATGTCATCTTCTCTGCATCAAATATTGAGGTTTATTGTGAATGATCAGCTTATTACTGTGTTTGCTGAGGATGACTGTACCATGATTGTTAATGCAAAATTCAATGGTGAAAATAGAAAAAAAACTCCAATTTCATCTCATCACGTTGCTGATATTGTCTCTGTGGGATGGGCATCCAGAGATAAGTCGCTGACTCAATCAAATTTGCCAGAGACCAGTATTATGATGGCTAGGGAGATGATCCGAGGCGGATACGAGATAGGAAAGGGTCTTGGGAGAGAATTACAAGGAATTTTGGAGCCAATAGAGATCCCGACGCAGAAGGATACATTTGGACTTGGATTTCATCCAACTGTTAAGGATAGAAGGGAAATGCAAGCTCGAAAACAAGCTGAAAAGAAGGGTAAGCAAACTTCCTTAAACGTCCCACCGTTATATCACACTTTTCCTTGTCCATCAGAGGTGATTATGCTAGAAACGAAAAATCCTGTGGAGGAGATTGAAGTGGACCTATCTCAGTTATTTGTCGGGGCCACTTGTGAGGAGGAGCCATCAGAAAATGCAGAATTTTTGCCAATTACCTAAGGAGCTATTCAGAATTGGACTGTTGATTATCTTCCCTCTTCAAGGGAATTTCGGTAAATTTAAGGGGATTGTTTTTTGTCTAGATCATATCCAGATAGGACAGTAGTCTGGATCTTTTGTTAAAAGAGATTGCTTTCATCTTTTAAACCTTTATTCTTGTTTCAGTTAATATAACTTGCTTTGTTCAAGAAAATTGCTGAAATGAAAATAAAGGTTTAGGGTTAAATATGTCTTTAAATGGCAATCATGTATGTATATTTATCTTTTTGTGAAGTCTCGATGCATTTTTGAATTTAATGAAATGAAAGACTTCTCCAGTATTTGCTATTTATTTATTACTTATGTTCTATTCTATTTTCAGATGGCCACAAATAAAACCTTCTGACCCTTTGGATGTCACCATTTTGGAATTCGATGGCTGCAATCTCGATATCTCTCATGAATTTGAAATCATGCAATCTGAAATTCAAAACGAGAGCGATACTGAGGAAGAATTTGAGTCTATTTCAAGGGATTTAAAATAGTATGAAGAGAAACCCAAACCCAACTTAGAAGAAACAGAAATCATCAATATTGGCACTAAGACAGAGGTTAAAGAGGTTAAAGTCAACATTCATTTGAATAAGAAACAGAAGGAGGAAATGATTGAATTCTTAATGCTATTTCAAGATGTATTTGCATGGTCATACGATGATATGCCAGGGATCTCTACGGACATAGTGGTTCACAGGTTGCCAACTGATCCAAATTTTTTACCTGTAAAGCAGAAGTCTCGTAAATTCAAACCAGAAATGAGCCTCAAGATAAAGAAACAAATTGTGAAGCAGCTCAATGCCAAGATAATCATGGTGTCTCATTATCCCGTCTGGCTATCGAATCCTGTGCGAGTACCTAAGAAATCTGGGGAGGTGCGAGTATGTGTTGATTACAGAGATCTGAATAAAGCCAGTCCGAAAGATGATTTTCCTTTGCCAAATATTCATATTCTTTTGGACAACACTGCTGGACACGAGATTGAATTTTTTGGTGACTGTTTTGCTGGGTATCATCAAATCTTAATGGCAGAAGAAGACAGAGAGAAAACTTCTTTTATCACCCCATGGGGAACATTTTGTTATCGAGTGATGCCTTTCGGGTTGAAGAATGCTGGATCTACTTATCAAAGGACCATGACTACCTTGTTCCATGATATGATCCACAAAGAGATGGAGGTTTATGTAGATGATATCATAATTAAATCAAAGAGGGTCGAGGACCAATTGGTTGATTTGAAGAAACTGTTTGAAAGGTTGAGAAGATATAATTTGAAGTTGAACCCTGCGAAATGTGCTTTTGGAGCTCCAGTTGGTAAATTATTGGGCTTTATTGTCAGTAAAAAGGGTATAGAAATAGATCCTGCGAAAATAAAGGCAATTCGAGATATGCCCATTCCAAAAACTCAAAAAGATGTGAAGAGTTTTCTTGAAAAGATCAATTTTATTGGCCGGTTCGTTGCACAGTTAACCTCTACCTGTGAACCTTTGTTCAAATTGTTGAAGAAAAATACGCCGATGGATTGGAGTGAAGACTGTCAGCAGGCTTTTTATAAGATTAAGACTTACTTGTTAAATCCGCCGGTCTTAGTGCCTCCTCAGCCAGGGAGACCTCTGATTATGTTTTTGTCTATTTTTGATGAGGCTGTCGGATGCGTTTTGGGACAGCATGACGAGTCTGGCAGAAAGGAGCAAGCCATCTACTATCTGAGTAAGAAATTTACAGCATATGAGGCCAATTATTCTTTTCTTGAAAGGAGTTGTTGTGCTTTAGCATGGGCAGCTCAGAAGTTGAGACATTATTTGCTTGGTTTTACCACTTACTTGATTTCTCGTTCTGATCCTTTAAAATACCTGTTGGAAAAGTCAATGCCTACGGGACGCATGGCTAAGTGGCAAATGATCCTCTCCGAATTCGACATTGTCTTCACAACACAAAAGGCAGTCAAGGGTCAAGCTATAGTAGATCATTTAGCAGAAAATCCAAGAGATGATGATTACCAGCCATTACATACCTACTTTCCTGATGAAGAAATTCTGTTCGTTGGAGCAGTTGAGGACATGAGTGAACAGTATCCTGGATGGAGGTTATTTTTCGATGGTGCGTCGAATTCTTTTGGAGCTGGAATCGGAGCAGTTTTAGTGTCGCCTGAAGGGAAACACTATCCTGCTACTGCCAAATTACGGTTTCCCTGCACCAACAATATGGCTGAGTATGAAACTTGTATTTTTGGATTGAAAATGGCATTGGACATGGAAATCAAGGAGCTGATAGCATTCAGTGATTCCGATTTACTTGTGCACCAGACGCTTAAGCAGTGGGTAACTCGTGATTCAAAAATTATGCTGTATCATTGTAGTTTGCTTAGCTTGGCCAACAAATTCAGGAATTTAGAACTCAGACATATTCCCCGCACTCGTAATGCCTTTGCTGATGCTTTAACTACTCTGTCTTCGATGATCCAACATCCAGATGAGTTGGTGATTGAACCTATACAGATTCAACTTCAGAATAGGCCAGCGCACTGTCTGGTTATGAAAAGGGTCACTGATGGTCGCTCCTGGTACAATGATATTAAGGTATTCATGAAAACGGGATCCTACCCTCCTGACTCTGATTCTATTGCAAAAAGTTTTTTACGCAGAATGTCAGCAAGATTTTTCTTGAATGGAGAAGTGTTATACAAGAAAACATCTGATTTGGGCCTTCTGAGATGCATCAACGAAGAGGAAGCCGATTATATGATGAAGGAAGTGCATAGTGAGATTTGTGGGCCACACATGAATGGACACCTACTGGTTAAGAAGATCATGAGAACAGGGTATTTTTGGCTTACCATGCAGCATGACTGTGTAGATTTTGTTAAAAAGTGTGCTAAGTGTCAAATGCATGGTGATGTTATATGTGCTCCTCCTACAGAATTGCATAGTATGACTGCTCCATGGCCATGTTCGATCTGGGGAATGGATGTGATCGGAACTATTGATCCTCCTGCATCAAATGGGCATCGATTCATCTTAGTGGCAATTGAATATTTCACCAAGTGGGTTGAGGCCGCGTCCTATAAGCATGTGACTAAAAAAGTGGTGTCGGATTTCTTGAGAAATAATATCATCTGTCGTTTTGGGGTACTAGAGACGTTGATCACTGATAATGCCAAAAATCTCAACAACGATATGGTGGATGGATTATGTGAACAGTTCAAGATTAGACATCAAAATTCGGCCATTTACAGGCCTCAGATGAATGGAGACGCTGAAGCTGCAAATAAAAATTTGAAAAAGATTATTCGTAAGATGACTGAAGCACACCGGGATTGGCATGAGAAGCTGCCTTATGCACTAATGGCTTACAGAACTATCCTCAGAACTTCTACTGGTGCAACTCCTTACTTTCTTATGGATGGAATGGAAGCAATCCTGCCTGCAGAAGTTGAAATTCCTTCCTTACGCATTCTGATGGAAGCTCAGATAGAAGAAGCTGAATGTGTCAGAGAACGTCAGGAACAGTTGTCTTTGATTGATGAAAAGAGGTTGAATGCCGTCTGCCATGGACAATGTTATCAGCAACGAATGGCTCGGGCTTACAACAAAAAAGTCAAGCCTCGTTTATTTGACGTTGGAGATAAGGTTTTGAAACGGATTCTTCCAATGCAAGATGAGGCTAAAGGGAAGTTTGCTCCCAATTGGCAAGGACCATTCATTGTTAAGAAAGTGCTATTTGGAGGAGCGCTTATTCTTATGGAAATGGACGGTCAAGTTTTTCCCCAACCAATCAATGCAGACATGTGCAAAAAGTTTTTCATTTGATTATAAAAAAAAAAAATTAAAAATACTGTAAGAGATGGATTTCAGGCATACTTCCTCTCATTTTTTCATTTCGATATTCTATCCCTAATTTTTCTTCTTTCCTTTTGACTTTTCATAACCATTTTTCTTTTTCGCTTGGCAGCTCCTTAAGATCACTAACCCCATACTGGGGCAATTTTGATTAAAAAGAGAGAGAGAGAGAGAGAGAGAGAAGAAAAGAAAAAAAAAGAAAGAAGAAAATAGAGAAAAAAAGAAAATAGAGCTTCGGTCAGAATTAAACTGGGGCAAATTTTATCTCTTTCTCACTCTAGATCGGGGAAAGTTTTGAAAGAATGCTATCTCAAATGATTGCAAACCCATCATATGATCCGCTGCCAAACCTTTCAAGCCTTAACCCTTCCTTTGCTACTCTATCCGATCCTAATCACAAGAACCAAAATTGCCGACTTTTATCTTTTGCAATATTTTGGAAAAAAAAATTTTCTTAATCAACTGGCAAATGATATAAATACAATCTTTCTGAAATATGTCAGAGAAAATTGTCTCACTGATGCTACTTAATACCAGAATATGACTGGATTGATCCAATTGGGGTTAAAATTGTCTTGTCTATGTCTCTAGGTGAAAACCCGAAAGGGCACCTTCTAAAAAAAAAAGGGGAGAAAAAGAAAGAACAGAAAAAAGAGAAGAATAAAAAAAAAAAACAAAAACAAAAACAACAAAAACAACAAAAAAAAAAAGAAGAAAAGGGGTGGGGGTAACCTTAGTGAAAACCCGAAAGGGCGCTGAGGTAGGGTTTTGAATACAAGAGGATCAACAACAAAGAATAAGATGTTGAGGTCTGAGAGCTGGTGACTATGTTGATTTGGGTCTCTTTTATACTGTTGTTCTTTTGCAGACAATGAATTCCAAAATGGACGACTACGAAAGGGTCAGATGGAGCATTTTTCCTCATCAAAGGCCATCCTCTAGATACGAATCCAAATTTTGATCTTTGGACCTATATTCAAAAATTCAACAATTTTGTTTTACTATTCTATTTGCTATTTCATTTATTTATTGTGTATCATTGTTTATTTCATATTAGCATTATTGCATGATGAATACTACATTTTTTAATTGTTTATATTTTTCATTTTTTGGGTTTCATTCAAAAGA